TTCTTGATCAAAGGCAAAAAGAGAACAGGAATTGGTCTTCTCTGTTCCTCCTTGCAAATTAAAAGTGACGTCTATGGAAAACAGTAGCTGATACATTTCTGCAATGAGAAAAAACTGAGATTGTACAGAATTGTGTACTCACAGATGAGATATCCCCTTGCTTGGTCTTTGTTTGCTTGAATCATAAAACTCCATGAATTTAGCAGACTATACAGAAGCACCTGCATCATTTTGTAACCACCAGCACCTAAGTATATTAGCTCAAATATCTTAATTTGGATATCAATACACAAAAAGAATGTTGTATACAGTAGGAACAAAAACCAAAAAACCAATTACAGAATCCCCCATCCCTTGATTTTTTCTCTTCTTAGTTGAGTAGCTTGAGGCTCTGGAAAAAAAACAAACATAAGTGCACTTGCATATGCTCAAATAAAATAATTACTGAATTTTTACTTGCTTCTTGCTTTGCTATAAGGCAGGGATAAAAATCAGAAGGGATTTCACTGTTGTGCCCAAATTTAGACCAAGGAACACAGACCTGAAGCTTGTAAAAGTACCAAATAATTCTGAACACCACTGAACAACAGAAGTGATCATTAACAACTTACTCAACAACTGTGGGGGGAAAAAAAACACCATAAAACAAGGTATTAAAAAGTAGGGAATGATTTAGTTACAGTATTATGATTTCCAAGTAATTACATTTTAAGGCAAAATCTTATAGTAACAAAACACGTAACTAATGTGTACTAAAATAAGGTTATTTACTTAAAAATGATACATTGGACATAATCTGTGTACAGAACAAGCAATTCATGGTAAACTCAATAAGGCACCTTCTAAAGCAGATGCTGTACAAAATACATTAGTGTGTTACATTTTTAAAGGAGTATTCTACACTTCGGGCATATAACAAACACAAGAGTGTGATCACTTGTCTCGTTCCACTCTTCTTTCATATTTTATTTACATCTTCTCTAGGTTAACTACAATGTTATTTATTCTTCTTGTATACAATATAGTACATTTCATTTTGGGCATGGCATGTCAGAGCACAAATGTCACTACATGATGTGGGCTTCTATAATTGCATTCAAAGGTCAAATATTACGAAGTAACAATTACATGAGATTTGTTAAAACATTAGAAGTAACTGTGCACCTCACTTCTGCCATACCAACGACAGATCCATATGGCACTGGATCATGCAACACTGCCAACCATTGTCAGACACCATCCCTACCTGGAATAAAGGTTTGTGGGCTCAGGACTTTTGACCTCAGAGGCACTGTCAGAAGAATGAGCAAAAGCTAAATTGTCCTACTATTTGTCAGAAGATGAGCACATAACTTCCCTTTAAAAATACCTGCAATAGCCAAAGAATGCTTTTTAAATTATTATTGTTACTTTTAAAACATTTTATACCATTAAGCTATAGTCTGTGAAGATGGCGTAGATTAAATGTATCCAGATGATTTGTTTTATAAACATTCAAATGGTCATTTAGATCAAGATCTGAAATTTGATTCTAGACTGCTATGGAGGTAACTTAAAATATTTATTTTACATTTTATTCAATACTTTAAAATAGTCTAATTAAGAAAATAATTGGAGAAGAGGGATGGACATTGGGAGAACTGCCATTTTCTAGGGAAAAACACAGGAAAAATTACACATTGAGTAAAACTCCGAATAAACTCAAAATGTAAGCCTACATTTTTCTGTAGGAATATAGTGTTTCCTGTGGAATTTACAAGTTAACCAGGAACACAAAAACTTCCCTTTCAATTGCTGCAACAGTAAAAATTATATAAGTGACTCAAATTATTTTCTACATAAGTGAAATCATATGAAGCAGGTTAAACAAATACAAAAAAAAACCCCTCCGTATGTGAGTGTTTAAGAACTTCAAGGCACAGTCTTCATACTCCCCAGGACATTTTCCACACTTCTGATTTTTATATTTTTTAAAAATATAATGAAAAAACATTTGCCAGTTTGTGGGGATTTTTTTTTAACGACTAAAGCTTAAAATTTTGACTAAGAGAATGAGATTAATCACACTCCAACAGAAGAATCCTATTTCTGTCCCTGACCTTAAAGGCTTCTGAACTTTACATTTTTGCATAAAGCTTTAGAATCTGCACTAAATATGCTTAACTATGTAAAAATTAATGGGCTAGCTTTGAATGAAGTTTGTGTTCTGTTTTGGGTTGGATTTTTTTAAAAAATGATTGCTAAAAATCAGGATAGACATAGTTAGACTCCAAACAGTAAATTACTTCACATGGAATGTAGATACGTGCTCAATTGCTTTATGGAACTAGGTCCCTTGGCAAAAACATTGTGGAATATCAGGGAATCAAGGAATGCTAAAGACCTAGCAGCTCCTGTTCATAGGTTTGAATATGAACCTAGTAACTGAAGTGCTGAAAAATTACAGTGAAGCTTAAGGTGAAAATCACTTCAGATCTTTAGATGTGTACCAAGCATCACCATCCTGTTGCCTCATAAATGCCTAAAAAATGGAAGAGAAAATCAGTGAATAATTAAAAACTACTGGAATTCAAACTTCCAGCAATGGCTTCCTGAAGACCTGGGAAAAATTAATTATAAAAAAAAACCCCACAAAGTAAGTTTACAGTTAATTACGCTGTTGCAACTTCTAAATGAAACTTGAAAATATTTTAAATAGGAATGGGTTAATTTAAATAGACCTCCATGCTCTTAAAGTTTAAGCTAGCAGGGTACCTACATAAGCATTTTTCCCTCTTCTTGATAAAAATCCCAGAGAAGGGGAAAAAAAAAAGCTTATCCCTTACCTTTTTTTGGCTCACAACAAGTATTTTCCAACTATGTGCAAAAATTATGCGTGAAGACATGACTAACAATTTCAAACTCCTCATTTTTCTTGGCAATGGACGGAGAAAAACTATTTTAAAAAGCCCTTTATCATGAGGATTGTGGCACACTATCATATAGCTCTTGCTATTTTCAAATAATTTAAAATCATAGTTGACACACCTATGAACTTTTTAGCCAGAATACATATTATTAAAGGCATTACTGAACAAAAGTAATGACTTTATTTTTTTTTCTTAAAGAAATGTCCCTTGAAATAGCTAGTTTTCTATAAAATATGTAGAACTGTTAAATAAAGTCTGTACATCACAATAGAAAATAAAAATACTGCAATCTTTTGCCTGACCATTTACACTACGTGAACTACAGAATTAAAACAAAAAAAAATAACATACTAGAAAGTTGTAATTGTTCACAAACCACATCAGTTCTTCATTACTTCGTTTTCAGTTGTATTTTCAAGGGAAATTTAAACACATATCAAAACAATCTCCACATACATATCTTAAAGACAACAAATCTGGCATAAATCATTTTGAGGTTTTAACATTTTTGCCATCAATTTTAACACTATTCCTAACTTTTTTTCTTCAAATCTCAGCTATGGCATGTGTGTGTGTGTGCGCATGTATCTTATTGTATATACGTACCTAGGTGCCTGTTTTTTTTTTTTACTAAAGCACAAAACACACCATATAAATAACTTCCCTTTTTAAAATTACCTAGAATAAGATTTACAGTACAAAGTTATAGGCACTTAAATTATCAAATAGGTTCAATGGTTCCAATACTGTGTGTGGGTCTTCAGATGATTCATGCATGTGAAGTTTCAACTTGAGTTACGGTTCCATTCTCTAACTTCAAAGCAAGTGCCAAAGGGATTAAAGATCAATAATTCTGCCTTACAGGAACCTCATGGAGGCGTTCTGGTTTTTCACCAACTTGTCCAGATCAGTGAAGCAAAGGAGGGAACTACAGTTTCCTGAGCATGCCAAATAGTTGGCACAGTAGGAACAAATTTTGCAATTATGTTCAATTACTTTATCTTAATGAATTAATCTTTCAATGCCATTCTTTCCAAATATGCCTAACTAGAACTTATAAAACACCCACTGATTTACCTTACCTCAAATCTGGAATTTTATAACTGTCCACTAAGTGGCCCACAGATGTGCTTTGCTGCATTTACATCAAAGCAATCCAGCTCAAAATCTTATGTACGTTGTGGATCTTATCTTCCACTGCTGATACATTCAGCTCTCCTGGTCTTGACCACTACTGCATTCTCTGATCTTCAGAGTGCCCAGCGAGCGCCTCCTGCCTTCCCTCTTTTGTGTCTGGAAATTAGATCTGTTCTCAAGCCTTCCAAAACTTGTATTTTGCCTAGTTTTGTCAAATGATGACACAGCATGCTCCTACAGCTGACCAATTCCCTCCTGCATGGAGAAAAATTCAGATAACGACAGGCACCTACTAGTGAGTCCTAAAGGCAAAACACATCATCAATGGTCTTTTAAGATGTATTCTACAGCAAAAATGCTGGTTGCGTGTGGCATTGTGAAAATTATGTCAAATTTCAGAGTCATTAAATTATGGAGCCCACTAGACTATAAGTGTGATGATCCAAGCAGTCTTGAGACCTCTAAGAGAGACTGTTTCAAGCTCCCTATAGACTTAAGTTTGCATCTCTTAACATATTAATTGTTCACATTTTTCAGTTCTCCTTGTGACCAATACAAGAATAGAGATAAAATCGAAACTGAGATTTTGGAAGATAGCTTAATGACAAGGAGTAAATTCTGTAGCAAATCTGAATTGTGGAGCCACAAAATGCATGGAGCTCTGACTAGAAAACTTTGTTCATTTCAATGGTTTCTTACCTATTCCAAATGACAGCAAAATAATCCTGGCACACACATAAAGGCATAAGGAACTGTTAAACTGAGTAGTATCACAAACAGATTCATAACTTACAGGCTGTTTCACAAAAACTTGGTATGGACTGACTAGGTTTTACCAGGTAGAAGGCAAAAAAAGCTTATATTCTCCATCTCTGTTGAATCCATATAGCTTGTTAGGCTTTCACAGAAAGCACTGTAATCTGAACATTTAATTCAGTACCCAGAGTTTTACTGGAGACTCACTAAATATGACTGAAGTCTCAATGCAGCTCAAACAAAAACAAAATGTGTACTTTATCAAGGCTGTCCATATTCAAAGCATGTAGTGTGTATAAGCTCTCAGTATCACAGTCTATGAAGTACTGAAAGATTTGATTAGCAGCCTGTAGAAGTGTGCTGAGAAAATACACTGAATCTCAGTTATTTCCTCTTTCCACATAGGTCTCACCCATGTTTGAGTGAAAAGATCTAGGAGTCCAGCTTTGCTCTCCAATTTCATGTTACTATGTCAAATCTTTACATCTTGTGATTCCACCATCTTGGCAAGAGTCTTCTTGATCCTCAAGGCAGTGAGCCTTGAAGCAGGATTGTGAGCCCAGCATTCAGACATCAACTTCAATATTGCTCTTAAACACTGTAAAATAAAAAACAAGGAATGGTATTGTAACAACTGACTGATCTAAAGTGTGTCATTTCCATTCACTTTCAAGTCTAAACTATAGAACTCTTAATTCCAAATGTCAACTACATTTTCTGAAAAACTGGTGATAGAAAACTATTACAGACAGACCCACTAAAAAAACCCCTAAACCAACAACTACGTCTCACTTCATTTTCCTCCCCTTCACTGCCTGCTATTACAGTACCTGTAACAACACCCAAGTGTTTCTTTCATTTCACAAAGATGCATTACCAGAACTCGTCATTAAAACTCAAGAACAGAGGTACAAAAATGGTAGCAATAAGCAGAAAAATTTCCATGTATATGGCAGAAAAAATGTAGAGAAGTTTTTTACTGAAAATGAAAAAGTTTCACAAGGAATTTAGCAGTCAAAAAAAAATATATGGAAAATACTCAGATTTCCTAAAAGAAAGCAAGGATTTTGGGAAAAAAGAATTTGGCATATCTGGCTTGCTACGTGAAGTAGGTACATCTTATTTACTGCATTCAAGTTGCAGCCCTCTAAAAATATATTTTGATTCTTTTATGTACATCATGGCTAGTCTCGGAATGTACCAGTAAAAATGCAATAAAACCACCCCCCAAAAAAACTACAAAGTAAGACTACAAACACAAAGAAATCACTTCATATTCCATGAAATACCTCATGCCACAAACCCATATGCTATGCCCATTAAGACCAATAAAATAAATTAAAAATTCTTTTCAGTTTTAGCTCCAATCAAAACTCTGAAAAATATTCTACTATACAAAAGCTCTCAGAGCAGTATTTACACACTTGGATGCTGCCAAGGGTACCTTCTCCTCAGATCACTGAAAAGACACATACAAATTCAGCATTCTGAGTGGATTTCAAACGTATCTTTCTATTGTTACTGTGAGGTTTTCAAAATATCAGAATGTGTAAATGTAGTCCCTTTTTTACAATGTTTTAATATTTATGAAACTGAAATATCTTTCTGTATTAATGAACAAACTGAACTAATTTTTCCTTTCAGCATACTCACTTCATCACTATTCCACCTGTTTGATACAACCGGGCGAAGGCGTTTGACACACACCACTTCTCTCATGTCCTCATAGGACGGATCACTTGGCACCATGTCATAATATGGCAACTGATACTCTTCAACAATACCTGGAGACAAGTGTGAAAGATGATGAAGCATTAAAAAACCAAATCTATATCTCTACTCTCAGATTTTCTTAGCAAGGAGCAAAAATTAAGTCAATTTTGTGCTAAGACAAATCCAGCACACTCTTATACTGTGATAAAAATCCCAAAATATCACTATAGACATATACCAGAAAAGTTCCAATATTACAAATACTAAGTTTAATAGCTACAGTAATTCCTTGCAGTACCTTTGACTTGGATAGCCAATGTAGAATTCGACATCTCCTAATCTACTACATGCTACAAAGAAACAGGGTGAAAGCATAAGGTGGGAGAATACAAGTAAAGACTACAAGGTCATAAAAGAGTGAATGAAAAGGATGAATCACAAAAATATGTGCAAGGAGAAAACTTAGTGACACCAGAAATGCAAGAAAGTAAGAATATCTTATCAATTAAATTTCAAAAGTATTATTAACAGCACAGGGGTGAAATAAATCTGCAACCCACTATTTCTCACAGATCAAGCACTCTGCTTTTTAAGCAAGAAAAAAAAAGCCTGAGATACTTAATTGTAACAAGGGAAAACATTTAGTTCAGTGATTTTCAAGCTGTACTCTGGACAGACTGTTAACTACTGCTTTTAAAGAATGCAAGCCTGTTGATATGTCACAAGCAGGCTTGTGACATTATTTCCTGGAGAAGTATTGACAAAGTGAGACTAGGGCCTGGTACATCTTATACAGAATATCGAAAAGTTTACCTCCTGTGACACAGCGCCGAGCCATTTCCCAAATGATCAGCCCAAAACTGTAGATATCAGCCATGATGTATGGTTGGAAATGATTTTTATTCAAGCTTTCATCTAGGACCTCTGGAGCCATGTAACGTTTTGTTCCCACTCTTGTATTCAAGGGAACATCAACTTCGTTTGTGTCACTGTATGAAAATATTAGTAAGGTAGTGAATTGTGAACTATTACAAAGCATGACATGAAGGTCTATATGATGCAATCACTACATGGCAAAGCTTCCTCTTACAAAACAAATTATCTCTTTTGTTTCCCTCTCAATACTACAGGTACAGCAATAAAAACCATAGTGAGTATAGAAGTTGACAGTTTACTGTTGCTTTTGCAAGACACTGAAAACACATATGAAAAAACTGAATTTAAAAATACTGTAAAGATGAGGGGGGTTTTAATTTGGTAAAAACTTAGAAAATGATTTGCAAAAGGTTTACGCTTTCTTTCAGGCTCTACTGTAGCAAAAGAGAATTCTCTAGCTCCACTGAACTTACAGTAAAGAAAAATATTCAATAATATATTATTACTTTTTAAATTATGTTTCAACTCCCTTACACTGTTAAAATTTTCTAGGAGATAATTCATAATGTAATGACAGGATAGAAATTGCTGTGAAAGGCCAGCTTTGAATAATCAATAGATTTATCTCCTGTTCTTTTGCTCTACAAATCTGCTTTTATTTTCCAGAAGAACAGTCTTTTCATTGTTCTCCTAACAACCTATTTTCATCTCAATGCTTACCAGGATTCAAAGGAAGAGCAGCATTTTACTCTAAAAACTGAAATAACCTGAAGTATGCAATCAAATTACTCCATCTTCTGTTTAAATTGGACAGCTGGTGCATTAAAAAAAGAATAAATTATAAGAGTTTTCCCACTACAGAGGATTTGTTCATCTACCTGTTAAACTTGACTGCGAGACCCAAGTCAGCGATGCAGCAAGTTCCATTTTTCTTTATCAAGATGTTTTTACTCTTCAGGTCCCTGTGTGCAATAGCAGGCTTGCCTTGTGTCCCATAAATCTCTGTATGCAGATGGCACAGACCACAAGCAGCAGAATACGCCAGTTTGAGAAGAGCCCTGTTGTCTAGTGTCGTGCATTTCAGAAAATCATACAAAGATCCGTTTTCATGATAATCTGTAATTAAGTAAAGCTGCGTCCAGGAGCCAGTACCTTTAATATCTGCAGCTATGAAACCTATAAAAAAATATATTAAAAGTTACAATATATTTGTGCATATTTTTCTATGCAAAAGATTTTGAAAGAATTTTTAAAACTATATTGTCTTAGACTGTATTAAAAAAAACACCCTGTTCCCCTTATGAAAACTAATAAAGTAAAAGCTCAGATTTCCACTATAGATGAGGTTGCCATTCGGGTCTTTCAGTAAAGAGACTGCAGACTTGTTTTCAACCAAGAGCAGCAAGATTCTATCCTTTGAATAACATTTTGCCAGCATACACTAAGGAACACCCATATGGTTATTCCATGGAAGCCACCATATACCTCTGAAGCTGCCCACCAAGAACCCCTCCTCCTCTGCCCTCACACAAGCCTCCAGCAGAGCCCAGCAACTCGCTGCTTCCTTACCCAGGATGTTTTCATGGCGCATTAACACAGTTTGATAAATCTCTGTTTCTCTGAACCAACTGGCTTCTTCTGTGGTGAAAAACACTTTAACTGCAACTTTTTCACCCCTCCATTTGCCCATCCACACTTCACCATATCGTCCTTTTCCAACTTGCCTCACCATCTGAATTTGTTTGGCAATAGTGCGCTGAACCTAGGAAAGGAACAAAAAAGTGTTCAAAATGAGTGGGTGGAGGAGGGAAACCCAACAATTAACCAAAAGCACCTGGACAAGCTGCTTGGATTGCTTTGAATTTTGATTCCATTGTAAAATTTGTACTATATTATTTTCCACTTATCCCATTTCAAACTCATTATTGCTGCTTCCAAGGAAGAATGGCATAACAAACCCAAAAAGTTTAAATCAGCTCAACTTCTTATTTAATTCAGATCCTTTATCTTACATTTTATTTGTTTCTATTTCATAGAGAATTACAGTAATCTATCTCACTATTTTTTTATGCAAGTAGTATATAGGATGGTGAATAAAAAAATAACAGCTATCAGCCAATAAAACACAAATTTATTTTACTGGACAGTGGATACCAAGAAAACAAATATCCTTGAGGTCGCTCAATTTGATGTTTGTATTATCCATTCATTGCATGTTATCTTAATGTCTTAATTTTCCTTTAGACTTTGCTGATGCCAACAGTTTTCCTAACACAATCTAATTTCGCACTTTGTTTCAGTTGATTATGTGAAGACAGGCTTCTATACATGTTTAGTTTGTACTATATCTTTCACAGTAATTGCATATAAAATAATTAATTAACATACTGGAAGGAGAAACTGTTTTGTTCTAGGCATTAGGTACAAACAAAATTTGGTATCTGATAAGTCCAGTGAAGAAAACTCTTAGTTAATGATTTACCAACAACGGTAGTCCTGATCCACTCCCAGAACTCTGTGACTGGTCAATAAGGTCTTTTAATGACTCCCCAGCTGGAATAAATGCTTCATCTTGCTCTAGGTCACGATTATAACAGTGCCTCTTTGCCATTGACTTACAGTAATGCCTGCAAAAGCAACAGGAGAAGTTGAGCAATAAGTAGCAAATTGTTTTAGGAATAAATGTAGAAGTTTTATTAAAAGAAGAAAAAAAATAGAATTAACTATACAGGTGTTTTTTTTTCCCAGAAATGTAACTAATATTGTCTTTTTAATATTAAGAAGCTGTTGTAATGCATTTAGAGGCACAACAGTTTATTCTGAGTCAAGTGGAAACCCAGCATTTTCAATAGTCAGCTGACAGCCAGTGTTAGCAGCATAACACCACTGGTTTGGGTTTGAAACAAGACTGAACCTCAAATCATGGCAGATAGGGCTGACACATGCACACTTGTGCTGAAACTGTTAGAACAGCGATCACCATCAGCACACAGCTGGAGCTGACAGAAGCAGACATAGTCTCTCAAACTGCACTTGCATGAATTGCCATGGCTGGTCTATTATTTGGTTTCGAAACACAGCAGAAAATGAAAAGTTGTAAAACACATCCTTGTTGCTTTAGGTTTGCAAAGCATGTTACAAAGGCAAATCTCAGAAGTAGATGCAATTTAACTGTCAAAATTGACTGAAGATCCAAACCCAAAAGTATTAAGATACTCCTGTTTATTGGATGCTATAGCAAAGTTATATGTAGCTTAGAAAACGGTAAAAACTTTTTAGCCAGAGGAAAGGATCAAATTCACTTAAATTCTATGCTGTGAACATTAAATTTCACCTAGCAAACTGCTATCCGCAGATATATAAAATTTAATTACAACATTGCAAATAAAATGCTTTCCTTACTTGTAACAAAAGCAGCTAAATAAGATGATCATGACAATTATGCAGACTGCCATGGAAATCAAGACTGCCATCCAACGAATGCTGCCATCAAAAAGTCCATCTATTAAAAAAAAGAAGTGTCCGAAGTCTATTAATTAAACATCTATTGTAAACAGTTCATTTAAGTATGATATTTTCACATTCTGTGTTTATGAATGTGTACCAACTGAAACACAGGAAGTTTTGTCTGAACATGCTTCACTGTGAGGGTGACCCAGCACTGGCACAGGTTGCCATGGAGGTTGTGGGGCCCTTGGAAATATTCAAAAGCCACCTCGACATGTTCCTATGTAAACTGCTCTAGGTGGTCCTGCTTGAGCAGAGGGGGTTGGACCACACAATCTCCAGGGGTTCTGTTCATCCCTCAACCAGTCTGTGATTCTGTGACAATGTGTGAAGCCACTAGCAAAATGTTATTAAGGAAAAAGACATCTGATGCATATAATATATCAGCTCATATTAAATTACACAAAATTCACAGTGTTTTACTATCAAAGTAAGTGTTTACACCAGAAAAGCAGAGATAATTTTATTAGGATGACAACAAAAAAGGGATTTAACTTGATATTTTGGAGTTGTTGGTTTTGGTTGACTCTTGTTAGTTCATAGACATAGAAATGAAGGATTTACAACAGTAAGATTCTGAGAAAGTATTAATCAACAATTAAACCAGTATGACTTGTCTAGTAATGGATAAGTGCATGAAAATACTAACTATTTTAACAACAGAAAAAAGAAGAATGAACTTACAGTAGAAAACACTTAAAGTCAGAATTCTGTTTGTTAAGCTACATTCATCATGCCAAAACCCCAGAAGAGATTAAGGAAAGTATTTTAAAAACAAAAGAGAACAGGTTGTGGAAACAGAATAAAAGCAGATCAAAAGACCCCATAGATATGAAGATATGAGCAAAAGAATAAAAATACCATGAATGACTGATGGAGGAAAAGATGAACTGGAAGTGGCAGAAAAAGAAAACTGGAAATAGAATATGAAGTGTAGTACAGAGTTTCATATAAAAATTACTCCGTGAGGAAAAGCCACATCTGTGTAATACTAATTACATCTTCTCCTTATTTTTATCTGTTGATCAGGAAGAACAGAATCCACATAATGTTTACCCATAGCAGTGTGAACATTTAGGAGTTGCTGTTTACCTGTACTATCAAGTGGTGGTAACGTTGGTTGTAAATCCTGATTGCAGAAATCAGTCCGACAGCACTCAATTGTTCGGCGTAACTGCGCTTTAGGCGAGTCCTGTTGAAGGATAATGGAATAAAGTCTCAGATTTTGAAGTGATCAGCTAGGATGGGGGCAGGTGATGCTACCGATACAACACAGCACAGACAAAAGTTTAGGCTATTTTATTAAAAAAACCCCCACAACAATTCAACCTCACTATTAAAGGAATAAGACAACTTCACAGTGACAGAGAACCAATAATCTAATCTCTAACCTTGTGTGCGTACATTGTGTTCTTTTTTTTTATGGAACTTTTTTACTTGGCGCACAGAAAAAGATGGTCCCTACTTAAGCTGCTAGTTCATACACTGCAAAATTTTTAAGTTGGGTCAAATGCAGTTAATCATGTGTTAAATAAATACTGCTCTTAAGACAAAAAACCCAGTCCCTTTAGAAGCTCTTCTCTTGCATTAATCATAGCAGCCCTGTTTGCTTCAAAAGCATCTTCAGCACACTGCTGAGACACAATATAAATACAAGAACAATTCAAGGAGGTTCACCGTGACACCTCAGGTCTCATTTGCAGTAACCAGAGCTATAACTGAAGTCAACAGTGCTTCCAAAAAGCAGTGCTACTTACAGCTACATTATAAGTCCTAGGGATTTAAAATTACATATTCAAAAAAGTGACAGCATTTTAGAGGGGCCAGGGGGAAAGCAACTCAGCTGGTGACAACCTCTGAAGGCTTTTTCAATGTAAACAATGTGACAAAAAGGAAAAAAGCAAAATCCAGTCTTCCAAGGCAATATTCATTTGCCCAGCTAGTGCTATATCCCCATCTCAGACACCATTAAGTGTCCTTTCTGTTACTACTCATTTGCAATGGTTCAGTTCCATTCTCCTCAGTGGTAACTGGCAACATACAAAATTTGATAACTGCAGTTGTACAGTACAGAGATGTAAACTGCTTATGCTGTTTCTCTACATAATCTCTATAGAGATCTTGAATTTTAATATCTCATTTTTTTACCTTGCACTGGAAGTCTGAACCTTCATACTTCATGCAGCCAGAAGCAAGTGTGGGTTCTCCATGTTCATCTTCCTCAATGATAGCAAAGCAATGCCCATTAGTTCTGGAATATACATATCAATTGTGCTTTACCAACATATTTGTTATTTAATATGCAGCATTAGTTGACCACAAACCCATTAATACTAGAACGTCAATATCTAAAAAAATTCTTATTTAACACAGTGGTTGCCATAAAGTTTGAGAATGAAAAGATAGATCCCCACAGCACTTTCAAATAGAACACTGTAGGGATGTTTCCTCCTGAATATTCTGTCTCCTATTTCCTCACCCAGCTTTCAGATTGCCCATATCCAACCATACACCCAGTAGCTCAGAAACAACTGAGGGGATGGAAGAGAGGATACCCAACCGAAAAGGCTTGCTGGCTACAATCGCATAGCTTACAAAACATTCACTTGTGTCTGTTCTTGAAACTGCAATGATAAACTCCTGAAGAGAAGTCCCAGTATGTGAAAGGTGGCTATTTCCAGGTCAAAAGCTGAGCTACACTATTCCCACATAAGCTCTCACAAATACTCAGCTTCTAGTGCAGAACAAACTCCCAAATCCACTTTCTGAAGTTGACAGTAATGAAGACTACATTCCCTCAAAAAACGGGACTGCAACTCCACATTATCTCTTTATAAATGCATTTATTTCTACACTTGAAAATGTCGACAATATTTGTAAGGAATCCCAAATAAGTGTGTGCTTTTAATAAAATCTTAATTTTACAGGTATCAAGTAAATAAAAATGTGTTCGCTCCATCCAGGCAGATACTAACAAAAAGAAATCAAGAAATATTTATTTTTTGCCCAATTTTTTTTATTTAAATGAATGTAAAGAAATTCAGATTTGGGAAGCATAATGCCATCAAATACTCTGCACAAATGCACTGCATTAGTGTTATTAACTTTCTAACAGCTTTATTATCAGAATAATAACCTATACAGCCGTTAGTTCAGAGACAAAACCGGAGTAAGGCCTATTCTCACTGAATGCACTAGAGGGCGATAAAAAGTAAAAAATAAACAAAAGGAATTGAAAGACAAACAACTGGATAGTAACTACATTTTTTTCTAGGTGCACAACTATGCTTCTAAAATACTACCTGTGTTTACATTTAAAGAGATACTAGTGTTTATTCCACCTCCTCGGGTTCCAAAAAACCTGCTTTATCTGTCCAGTGACAGCTTTACAAAGGCTTAATATTAGGTGTTAAAGCAAAGACTTAAATTACAGTAATATGTTTTCTACTATGTAAAAAAGAAGCAAGGGCCTTAAACATAGAACTGCAAACAAAGAGAAAAAAGGAAAACCAAGGACATGTCACAACCTGAAAAAAATATCTTAAGCAAGTACATAATCAGCGTCTGAATCTGATAGGATCCTTAACTCCTATCAAAGTTAAAACTACCATCCTGTCCCTATGTGTTCAGAGGCTTTTCTTTTTCTCCCTTGTCTTTCCCTCATGTTCTATAACTAACAACTAACAAACATGTAACAAGAGGCATTCCCAGTAAATGGCTATGTCGCTAACATTACCTTTTGACAACTAAGCAAGTAGGTGGTTGTATCAGTATGTAATTTAATACTCACCTAATTATAAAATGCTACAGGTTACGTAAAACCTCAGTACTTCAAAGCAGCTGCTGGGGGCAAACTGGTCAGTTGCAAATGGTTCTAGGGTAAGGTGAAAGCAGTATTGCTTACATAGAGATGACCCGTGTTTTAGTGCTCAGCTCTCCACTGAACCAGTCAGTTTCTAATCAATTACAGTCACATCACCTAACAGAACCCCAGTCAGTGCTCCAGAGATAGTCTGCTCTCAAAAAGGCAAAAAAGTGAGCCTCTTCAAAGAGCCTCTGCTATCCTGAACAGAATACTCACATGCATGTGTTATTAATAGCATCATCTGGACAATGTCCTGAGCAGTAGCACTTAAGAAAAGGTAAGGTGTCTTCTGGAGCCAATGTTACTCCATTTGTTTGTTTCTTTTGGTCAGGATTTGTCTTCATTCCTGTGCCATGAAGCATGCTGTCTGGATTTTTCCCTAGACATTTAGAAAAAAACAAATAGAGTATTTTTGCACCTCTCTGGTAACTGTTCAAGAGCTTTACAGGCAAGACGTGACAGCAGAATAATTATGTTAAAAAATACAAGACACAAGAACCTCTCTCCCAAGATTATGGCAGAAATTTCAGTTAATAATTTTGTTATAGAAACATACACCTCAGGTATTTTCTAACAGCAGAACTTCCAACCATAATCAATATAAATAGAAAGACAATACTTTCCCTTTCTGAGGTGGGGCAGAAAAGTAGTGATGTAACTGGTAAGAATTTTCTGAAGAAAGCCTCTCATTCAGGTGTTTAGAAAGACCGCTTGATAACCACAACAGTGTAATTTTATGCATGACTGAATGTACTTAATATGCAATTTTCTAATTTTCTGAACCAAAGTAATTTTTTATGGATTCACAGTCTCATAGAAGAGCAGTAATAACTCCAAAATCTCTTGGGTTTTTTGATCTCTGTATACATTAGTACTTCAAAAAAGAGCTAAAGTAAATCTTGTTTGCAAATTACATTTCAGTAAATGACATGAACATCCACACAAATGAGCTTTCAGAGAATAAAAATAGGGCTAAATTACATTCCAGGCAGCCCTCAGTTTCTCAACAGTAGGACAGTTGAGCATCATTTGTTCTAGCTCATATTATTAAAGAAAGTGCTTTTGTTAATGTAGGCATTCAGAAGAAAAATTCCATCTGTTTCCTTCTTAGCAAAGAATATCCAGGAAAAAAAATATCAGAAACCTTATATAACTCATTTGGAATACACTTTGTGACCACTGTATGAGATGAGAACATCCTCATCCATCTCCTCCAGCTTTATCATATGTAATTTTACCAACAGAAATACAAGAATTTCTGGCCCTAAGTCCTCAAGGTGTGAAAGCTAGAAGAATTGGTAACAGACTATCACCTGCACTGACACAATTTGCAACAAGTTGTGGGAGGCTCAGTGCAACACAGGAGAAGAGGGAGATGACAGCTTTTACAAATTTCAGTTATAATTTAAAAAGTGGAGCTCTCACAAATTACCTCTCAAAAATGTTAGTCACAATAAAAAGAATTAAATTTATCTAATTAAAAAGTATTTTGACCAGGAAACTCGTGGTCTTTTTTAACAGATTCTTGTGGCTTCCTGTCAAACCCACCAAACACTAACTGCAAGGAGAACATTACTCTCATATTGTACTTTGCTTGAAAGATGTGCAGAAAAATGTGAATAAAACCCCATGCAGACACCACCCTCTGTATCACTCAATTTTTACATCCAATACATCATTCAGCCAAATGTGTGATTAAATATTAGTGAAATTTGACCTTATTGCTCTGAAAAAAGCACACTTGATGATTTCCTTATCTAATTAATACTGCACACCCAGTGCATTGTCCCAATTCAGCTGTTTCCCTAAAAGTAATGAAACTGTGCCTTTTTCAGATACATTTAAGAATAGATCCTAAGAAAGTACAGCACTAATTTACTTAAACCCTCAAATCACTTAGCCATGTTTTATTTGAAATGTACTTTTCAAACAGCACTTCAGTAATGCCCGAGTTAAATACTTTGGATACATACACTGTTAACAAGAACGAAGGTGCACTGTTAGAATAACACAGAGTTTACCTGTGCAACAGGTATTTCTGATTTAACCAAAAGGAATTCTGCACACATGAAATAGCAGCTTCTTCACCTGTCTTCTCTCTCTTCCTACAGATTTCTTCCCAGCATAAACTGAAAACTCATTTTAATACTGTGCTACAGACATTACACAACAGTCTGTATTCACATTTAAGAATTCCTTACCTGCTCAGAGAACAGGTAATTCTACTTCATATTTAAAGGAAAAGACAATGCATATGTACAAATATTTTCTTTCCTTCTAATTTTGTTGAACTACTAAGGTATCTTTCCTAATTAATGTTATAAAAACCCCTTTGTCTTCAGGGACGTTCCACACGATAAAACGTCTGAATACTTTATGTCTCACTCATATATCTTGCTACCATAAGCAGCAAATGAAGCAGTTGTTCAATTGGTTAGAAGAGAAAGCAAGGAACCCTTAAAGCACAGCTTCTCCTTGCTCAGAAGAGAAAACAAGATTTTTATGCAGGTCTTGGATTTTTAAAGGAGTATTATTCTTTGCAAACTAACACTGAAGCATTCACTACAGTAACCTCTTATACTAAAAATGAAAATGAATAAATTTCTCCTCTTACTGTATCACGATGGATCATGTGACAAGATTTATGAATAACATATACCAAATAAAACCCAAAGTAGGTAACTATTTTCAAAGAACCAGCATTTTTGGATTTTGAACAGTTTGTATAGGCAGATTGTTATTCAAAGCAAAAAAGATACTAAGATTTTATTATCTTCGTAATGTGAAAGAGAAACAATACTCCATGGTAGACTGTTTTTATCTTTCAGGTAAGATGTGAATTGCACCAAGAATGGGGCTTGGGAAAATCACTTCACTATTGCATTTTGATTTTCCAATACCTTAAAGAGAACTCTTATTAAGTGAGTTTAATTCAGTATCCAGAGCAGGAAGAAAAAGGAAAATATTGAGACTGTTTGGGATCATGCCAGAAGAAAAATTTTAATAGCCCCCATTGTGATATTATCCCTAACTGTATCCTTTACTGCAGTACTACAATTTATCCTCAGCATTTCCATAAAGTTTAGTGTCTATCTTCAGATGTTAGGTATGGGAAAGGAAGTTGAATGTCAAAACCAACTTCACTTCCATTTCAACACCTGAGATGTTAAGAGGGCAGATCAAGATCCAAATGGGGTCACACAATGTTTCATTGCTGGTTTTCCTGGTTAATAGATACTGGGTAAACCAAGAATAGTGAATAATGAAGGATATGCCTAAATTATATCTTGCTTCAGGAACTACCTCCTGACCCTCCTGCACCAGTGCTCTTGTTATCCCCCACCTTCAGAGCTCCACCTCTCAAACATTCACACTGCTTTATCTTCCTTCTGGAAGCAGAACACAAAAAGGGAGTATCCCATTTTAGGGATCTTGTGACACTAGACTACTAGATGATGTAATTAATGGCTTCTTTTCCATGACACATGCAGTTGTCAGCTCTGCAGTGCAACTAAACACACATACACAAACCTCACATCTTTCAAAGGTCTAAGTGCCATGAAAAGAAGTTTGCACTGAAATACAGTACGTAGAGTCTCTGTTATTTCCTACCTTCTACATGTAAACTGCAAAACAGTAGCAGCAAATGAACTGTCATGCCCTAAAGAACTTCAAGAACCTGGATCATTTTCAGCCTGTTCATCCAGCGTTGAGAATGATAGTATCATATAATGTATATTTTACCACATTTCAAAAACTTACATCATTCCATGAAATATCAGTGATGGTGAACTGGAACATTCTCCTCATGTAATCACAGTGTAAGACAACAAAGAGAAATAAGCTGCCTGGTCTTCAAGTTCCCAATTAATCTTTTGCTCTGCCCTCTCACAACATTGTCTCATACACACTTCATTAATTTCAAATTTCTAGAAGTGTTAACAACTGTGTCAGGTAAGACATTTAAATGGCTTTCTGTTTAATTATTTATTTTTTTTAAAAAAATAAAAAAGAACAATGCCTGCCAATGTATTGTATCCAGTCCTTACTTGAAAATACAGACTATTCAAGAAATTACTTCTCTTAATCACAGAAAGTAAGTTAGATTATAAGATGTAACATTTAAGGTCATCTAGTTTAAACATCCATGCATGGGCAGAGACACCCCCCACTAGATCAGGTTGCTCAAAGCCCTGTCCAACCTGGCCTTGAATATTTCCAGGGATGAGACCTCCGTAACTTCCCTGGGCAACCTGTTTGAGTGTCTCACCACTCTTTAACTACTTTTATACTGATGTCTAACCTAAATCTCCCCTCTGCCAGCTTAAAACCATCACCCCATATCCTATCACCACCCACCCTTGTAAAAAGCTCCTCCCCACCTTTCATGTAGCCCCTTCAGGTACTGGAAGGCCACTATGAGGTCTCCCCAGAGCCTTGTCTTCTCCAGGCTGATCAGCCCCAACTCTCTCAGCCTGTCCTCATAGGAGAGGTGCTCCAGCCCTCTGATCATCTTCATGGTCCTCCTCTGGATGCACTCCTAGAGCTCTATGTCCTTCCTGTGTTGAGGGCTCAGAGCTAGATGTAGTACTCCAGATACTGAGGACTGCTGAGTAGAGGGGCATCCATTGCCCCTTGTGCTGTCACAGGGCATGACTGAAAAGAGACTGTTCCCTCCTTCTTGACACCTACCCTTCAGATATTTAGATAGACTAATAAGATCCCCTCTCAGTCTTCTCTTCTCTAGAAAAAACAGCCCCAGATCTTTCAGCCTTTCCTTTTAAGACAGGTGTTCCAGTCCATTAACCAACCTTGTGGCCTCCACTGGAGTCTCTCTAGTAAATCCCTGTCCCTCCTGCACTGGGGAGCCCAGATCTGGATTCAAGCTTGTAAACCAATACTTAAATAAAAAAATATTTGTCAGAAGACCAGCTTTAGCAGCCTCCCTGCTGTTGTTCACTGGTGCTTGCTGATGCTCAGAGCTTGCCCACACTGGGCTCTTTTCATCAAAGATTAAAGTTGCACCCAAGCTCTTTGTGTTAGATATGCCTTTCTAATGAAAAAGACATATCCCAGAATTTTTATGTGGTAGTTTTAGATTACTTGTTCTTGCTTTAGGATGCAGAAACTGCAAAATTACCCACTCCAATGAGGACATTTCACCCTTGTGTCTATCACAAGCTTTCATAATTATTTAATATGTACTGCTATGTGAATTAAACCTTAGTACAACTGATACAGCCTCAGTAAAAAACTAATACTCTTAGAGCACAAAATTATTTTAAACATCAGAAAAAGAAACTTTTTGGGAATGCAAAGAAAAGATCTTAAATGTTTCTATAAGCCCTGTCTCTGGCCTTTTAACCATAATTCTTCCTATAGTGCTTTTTTATATATCAAGCCTGTGATCTCCAAAGACCAGGCATGTTAGAGGTAGTCCCATCTAGCCAAACAGGTTCCTAAAAATCACAGCATGTTCCCAGACAATTTGTTTAAAATCTTTTACCACCCTCCAGCTTTCCCAGGAGCTACATCAGTGCTCAATATGAACAGGCAGCCCCTGCCCCCTATCTTCCCAACCAGCAACCCTCAGCCTATGCTTCCACTTCCCCAGAAAAGTAATTCCTAAAGAAGACTACTCTCTGCTCTTATGTATTCAATCTAAAAGCCAGCAACAAGATAATTCTACGTATATTAAAAAGTACACTGTTTTCTAATCTAAATTAAATGGACTTAAAAAAATAAAGTTACTTGACACTAAACATGAAATTAAAATATATAACCTTTAAATAATCCACTAAAATAATTAATCAGACAAATATTTAACATGTTTGCTGCCCATGTGTTGAAGACAGATGCAGCCATTAATTGGGAAAATCACTAATAAATAGAATTACACTGTCCTGAAACAACGGATTGTTTTCTGACAACTCTAAGTTCTTTCTGTAGATTTTAGAATATTTTCTTAATTTCAGATTAGTTTGTATGTTTGAATTTAGTAACTATTTAATCTAAAATTCAACAAATATGTAAGAGTAGAAAAAGTTATACCCTTTCCTATAACAAATCTTTGAGAAAAGAAAGTATGACAGTGAAATCAAATCTCAGTATTTTTTCAGTTCACTGACAGACAATGCCAACTTAATGACATCCATTTTAATATTTATTATTAACATTATTTTAAGATATAACTTTTAATAAATCTTTCTTCATACATCTTGAATGCTATTAATGCATTTTTAGTTAACTAATTCACAAGGACTAAAATACTGATCTTCCATGGTATCTCTGAAGAACACAAAGGTGGGATGAACCACATACCTAACAGTGTACAACATAGCAAACTGACAGTAATGAAGTACATCATTTAGGAGAACATGTTTAAGTATACACTAAATTCTTTACTCGATTACAATTATTAACTAGGTATGCCCACAAATGTGTTATAATAAACAAAGAAAGAACTCTACTTGGAAGTAAAACTGGTTGTCTGAACTAAAAAACCTGCACTGGAGGTAAGACAAAAAGCATCCTTACCATAGTCCTCCACTGCAACTGAAGGTTATCCACTGTTGCCTTAAATGAGCAAAAGTGGATGGAGATGCAGAGCAAGTCTCAGGACTAAAAATACTGCAAAGGCCTTTCACAGTGAGAAAGGAAATGCAAAATACTTTTCTTGAAAAGACTGCTATTAAGCCTAGTCATCTGTTAGCTGTGCTTGTTTCTGATTATCTCTCACTGTAAGTGAGAAAGTCCCTAAGTGGTAAAGAAGATACAATCCAAAGGGCAAGCACTGTGTCCCCTGCTCCATAGTACCAACTTGAGAAACAGCAGCTGCTCACCAATAATTTAATGGAATTTCCCGTTTTTTGCTGCTGTTGTCAGAATATTTTCACATTAATCAACACATGCAGCCACTTGCTTTTTAAAGTTGCCTACTAAGGAATCCTATGCTTGTATACGTATGTCACTCTCTCAGGTCTTCCTAAGTCCCAAAATCCCATTTTGAAGAAGCATCCAAAAAAAGTGAGGGAGCAAACGGTTAAGCTGGGTGCCAGTCACAAAGTACACACACCAGGTGTTTCTGCTTTCTTTCCTTTTCCCTCTTCTTCCTGTAAATCACATGAATTCTCTTCAATGCTTCATTAAATTGGAGAAGACACATTATTGGTTCCTTTATGATGCATTTTTGTGATATTCTGCACGTGTTTTCCTTGTTGAAGTAATTCTTTCCACTTTCAGCTTCCACTTTTTAGACTTCTCACTTTAGATTTCCTCTTTCCTATACAAAATTCCAAATACTTGATGACCATTCCCCCCCTGCACAACTCCTTCGTGTATTCAGGGACAAGCATAGTGACCTGACTGTTTTTCTACCCAACACCCTAGAAAGCAAGCATATTTAATTTGTTTGAAGACAAGCCCTTTAGGCAACTTGCATCAATGAACCAACAACATTTTAGCAAACGCAGCTTTCCCATGGCTTTCAGAACTCACTCAGTATTGATCTGAAAGTCAGAAATATTTCTAAGCCAACACAATTTCTATTTTTTAGAAGCTGAAACCAATATTTTTCAGGGTCTTTGAACTTAATTTTGCTATATTATTTATTAGAAGTAATTTATTAGAACACTGCTGAAACATAAGCATGGAAGAAGTTACAGTAATTTAATTTCAGTTTGGTATATTGGTATCATTATTTCTACTTGTATATACAGAGAAAAAAAATTGTTCCTTCAGTTGCTTGCCTTTGAGTAAAATGCTGGATATTGACCAATGAAAAGGGGTGACAGTAACTTCAGTCAAAGGCATGAAGCCTATCACTCCCAACGTCTTCAAGGGAAGAAGCTGGTATCTTCTGCAAAAAGCAGCCAAACTGCTTTAATATTAGTAGAACAAGCTCCACTGCATAATGTTATGTCTGAGAGTATTTTAGAGTGGTAGGGACCTCTAAAATCAGCTGGTACCACCACCTGGTCAAAGCAGCACCAACTTCTAAGTTAGACTAGGCTGTTCAGTCATTCTGGTGAAGTTCTGACTATCTCTAAGGATAAATATTGCACAACCTCTCTAGGCAGCCTGTTGTAAAGCTTAACCAGATTCCCAGTGAAAATTTATTTCCTAATTTCTAAATGAAACTTCATTTACTTTGATTTGTGCCTGCTATCCATCTAATCACCTTACTGCTACCTGTAAATATTTGTAAATCTGTACTATAGCTACAACTATAGCCCGACAAGGCTACTTCTGTCTAAGTTGATTAAGCTACTTACCAATTAAAAACTGTATATCCACACAGGAAGAGGTATGGGTCTTGAGAATCTCTCTCTCCCAACTTAACTCACATAAAAAGGATGGAAGAATCCTGGATTTGTGTTTGTTGTTCCTTACAACATTGAGATACTTGCTGCAATGCCAATGCTTCAAACTCAGATCTCTGCTCTTCCCCACTCACAGAATACATGTGCGCATGCATAGATACACACACAGAGTCAAACAAGCCAACCATCAGCTCTTCAAGCACACACCTAGAAATAAGACACTATTCTGGGCCCCCACAGGCTAAAGCAATGAAAGTGCTCAAATAACTTGGCAATTATACAGGAACACTTGTCCAGTTTTGGAAGAATTCAATGATACAGAAGCCTTCAGTGTGCTCATGGTAGCCTCTTGAAGTGAACCCCAGGGGAAACTCAAAAGGAAGAATGGCAGTTTTGAGTATCTTTAACAAAGTGCAATTCTGCACAGACCCAGAGAGAGGACTTCTGCTCCATAAAAGCTTAGCTGTGAATGTGTGGAATGGTAGCTGAAAGACCTTAAAGACAGTCCTCCTTGCACTGAGGCACTATTCATTTAATTTGGATCTTAGTGCAGTTGACAGCTCATCCCTAGTCAATTTCAGGTAAATATCTTCAGTGTCATTTATGTTTACTGCTTAATAAAGGTCAGGGTTATGTCTAAGGGCACAGTCTTGTGCTCTGCCTAAGTGCTTCCTCCCACCCGGGCTGGAAGCTGCAGCAGTTCCCAAATACACCTAGGCATTTGAATACAAGAGTATCAATACTAGCACATGGGAAGAGGCAGAATCAAGTGGCAGGCCCATTATACATTTGATGCAAGTCTGCTCTTAAAATCTGGTCAAGCTATGTACCAAGCACAGTCCTGATAGTAGAGACAGCTCTGCTAAGCCCCGTAATCTAATATTGCAGGTACACACCAGAAACAGAACATAAAGATTGTCATTTGGGTACTCACCAGGCTTCACCTCTCCAAATTTTAATGGGCTCACTGAATTGTTATTCTTGAAAATAAATAGCTCAAAGAGTATCTCAAAATAAAATTAAACACTAAGCAGTTAATGATATAAATACAGAAAGAGAATAGGAAACCTTTTATATTTTAATATTAAAATGGCAGTACCAAGTTAGTCTTTTCTATTTCCCTTGAAATAAACTGGAATCTCCATGTACTCAAACATGAGAGAAGTGTGCAGCTGGGAGAACAAAAAGTCTTACACAGAGACCAACAATGTGCTTGATGGACACACAGAGCACTCTACTGTTCATGTCCCATACATGGGAATGTGGTACCACTAACAGCTCAGATACCATTCTGCTATTCTGACTGTGGTACCACTAACAGCTCAGATACCATTCTGACACTTCTCACAACTACAAGCAATTACAGAACCAGATCTGCCAGGTCCACTTGCTAATGAGAAGGAAATAATACTGCAATGGATTTTCCCACAAACTACTTATAATCTTTATACTTGAAGCTTGAATTCCTGATAGAGCATGAGACAGTCACATTGGTCAGTTCCCAACACCTTTCCCCAGTTGGTCAAGTTAAAAGAGATCAAAGATGCACACATAGAGGAAAACTAAATTCAGAAAGTCAAACTTTCAATTCTGCTGCTTATATAACTTGCTCCAGAGCGTACTGTGCATTTTTAGTATCATCTCTATTGAAGCATTTGCTAAAGTAGACCTAATCTATAATCTATACTACAAAAACACGTCCTCCTATTTAGGGAGGTGTCTATATGGTATGTCAGGCTGTAGAAGACGAAAAAAACAACTCCAAGCCTCAAATGAGAAAAAACCCTACCCCAACCACTGGAATACAGATCTCAGGTACAGATGAAAAATACACACATATTTTAACAAGATTATTTACCTTGAACATGGAGAATGACAAGCAGGTAGGCTCCAAGCAATCGCTCATAAACTCGCAATCGTGTCATTGTTCACTTTTAATCCTTCCTGTGCAAGGCAACTGGCCCTTCTCCTTGACAAACGTTTAGTCTGTTCAGTGAAGTCTAATACAAGATTTGATGCTTGACTACCAGAATGCTTTTGTAACTTTTCCAACTTCGTTTCCTGAAAGATACAGTAAAACAAAGTGTTAAGAAACTCAGTGTATTTCTAAGTCAAGGAACCTCAAGATTTTTCATCACATTGATCATAACCATGTGACTGCAAAAATTAATTAAAAAGGCATATGCTTATTAGGATTAATAACTGAGAATACAAAGCATCTCTACTATCCAACTGAACAGCACGATTCTTCAGAAATACACGCTTTCGGTAACAACTCACAGGAACGTTTCTACATTCCTATCTCATCACAGACAAATATTTTAGACTCACATACAGCTATCACAGGTATTATTCAACCCATTAACAAGTAAATTGGTTTGAAAACAATTTACTTTACAGAAATCAAAATTAATATTTAGTATTTTTCTTAAAAATTAAACTCAGTGTTGACTTTCCATAATATTGCAGGGAAAAAACCCAACATCCTGATGACCCACCAATAGAAAAAAAAAATGCCTGCAGAGGAGCTATATTACAATAAACATGCATACTATCTGTTTGATGAAAGCTAAATTTGGACAAAAATAGTTCAGTTACCTAATTTGCTCACAATGTTATTTTTGTCTTATAGAATAGTGCTACCCTCTTCAAAAAACTAAAAAAGCACAATCTTATTTAACATGTGAATGAAGAAACTGATTTCTCAGTATCAACTATTCCAGTCCTTCTTCCTGTAGACTACTACATTATATAGTGTTTTCTGGACAACAGAAAGTTAGCTCAATTCACAACACCAATGAGCACTTATTATTAATCTCTGTTAATTCCAATTCAAAATACTGATATCCTTCTTGATTTTCAAGTTTTATTTTAATCAATCCCTCCTGAAAAATTATGCTACTATATACACACACCATTTGCTCAAAAAATAAAATATAAGTTTTCACTCATCCAATGGTTGAACACACAGTGAAGACAGACTAATTGAGTAACAGGTTATTTTTCAGACTGCAGTAGATGTGGTTACTTTCTGTTTAACAAATCTACAGCAATTCATGAAGGAAGCATAAGTGGGCCTCAAAGGACTAAAAATCAGCTTGAACACCTAAACAGTTAATTGCAACAAAGGCAACGTTGCAGGAAGAGGAACAGAGGAGTGATTTTGCCTTTCCTCAGCAGCCTCTCCTTTCGGTGGGCTCGACCCCCTGACCCCTGTCAGCCTGGCGCTGCTCATGAATGCCAGGGCTGGCGCTCGCCCGGGGATGGGCTGCAATTACTGCTGCTGGCCCCTTCCACCATCAACAACTCCATCTGTCTGTCGGTGAGACCCAAGAACTTTTCATTTTAATTAGTGCTTCCAGGCATTTAACATGGAGGCATATTAGCAGCCCAGCTGGGACGTGTCTGTCCCTTTCAATTCCGGCAGGGTTGGGGCAGGCTGCCCCGACCCCTGGCCTACTTTTCACACCTCCCTGGGTTCTCCCTAACCAAGTGACAAAGTGCCTCCCTGCCAGAGGAACCCGGGGCCAGCCACGGGATGGGCCCCTCCTGGCTACAGGAAGGCTGCTGCCACCCTGGTACCTGTCACAATTACTGCCAGGTTATGGCAGAATGGTCTAGGAGCCACACACTTTGCAGACATCCTAAGCACTAGTAACTTCAAAATAAACTTCCTGGCAAGGCAGAGGTAAAAGCAGCATGATAACAAAAATATTCACTCTCTTCAGTGTTTCCTAGTCACAAGAAACAGGACCAATTCTGACAGCTGATGGGGAAAGTCCTTCTAGTTATAAAAACATCAGGGCAGCAACACAAGCACATAAGGATTATTGCTTCCTTCCGTGTTTCAATTGTAATGAGCTTCAGTCCTTAATAAAACCACATGGAAGACAGAAAATGCCAACAGCTTGTATGTAGTAAAACAACAAGGACTTTATTTACAGTATTATTTTTATTTACAGTATTATTTTTGCAGTCAATCACAGAAAAAAACCCACCCCATTAATAGTCAGCATTTAAAAATTATTTCTCTCTGTCCGCTCCATAGAAGTTTCAGTAAGGAGCCAGGCTTTTTTCAGTGACGTCCAGTGATAGGACAAAGGGCAATGGGTGCAAACTGAAGCATAGGAGGTTCCATGTAAACTTTAGAAAAAATTTGTGTCACAGAGCACTGGGACAGGCTGCCCAGAGAGGTTGTGGAGTCTCCTTCTCTGGAGACATTCAAAACCCACCTGGATGTGTTCCTGTGTGATGTGCTCTGGGTGATCCTGCTCTGGCAGGGGGGTTGGACTGGATGATCTTTTGAGGTCCCTTCCAACCCCTAGGATTCTGTGATTCTGTGATTCTCAGTCTTCCACATTCCAAGAGTAGGAAAAGTGGTGATCTTGCTCCCCAGTTCAATCAGGTAAGACAGCACACTGGCTCAGGAACTTAATGTGCAAGGTGTGTCTACCACTGCACTACACACTATGTTACAGAAATCAATACGAAATTGAAGAAAAACCCAACTGCAATTCACTTGCAATTTCATGGTGATTTTTGTTCAGTGAGACAATCTAAGATGCTTTTCAAAATTGTTGTCCAAGCCTATCCAAGAATTACAACTCTCTAATGCTTAGAATCAATATTTTGCACCTGAATCTTCCTTTCATAAATATTTCACTTTTCAAAGCTGTATCTATAAGTAAATATGTTTAAAATGTAAACAAAAACATGTAATAAATTTAAACTGAGAAAAAGTTGTTATAATTCCCCATTTAAAAATCATTCTAATTTGATAATGCTTATCAACATTTAAAAGAATACCTCAAAAATGGAAAGTAAAACCCAGCAGAGCTGCAATCCCTTTTCCCCTGAAATGCACATGACACCTTAATACTATTACTTGAGTTATCTTCCTGATGCCCATACTGTCAGTGTCAAGTTTGCCCTTAGCCAGGAAAGCTCCTCAGCAGGCTGCAAGGCTGGGGCAGACAAGCACTGATGAGCCTTGCTGCACCATGGCACCCATGGTAACTATGAATCCTTGGCAGGTGAGCTTAAGCCCCCAATGAAAACCTAGTGATTTAGAATTAAAAGTTCCAATATGAACTTAACTGCAGTGGGGACACATCCTATTCTACAGCCCACACCACACAAGCAACAAAGCTGTGTCAATACCATAATGTGGATGGGTTGAAGCATTTTTTCAGTCATCACAGTAAAATTCAGGAGAGCTTTCTTGCCAGAAGATGTTTCAGGTATTTTTAACCCATCCTTTGAACTATTCTTCCTTTTTCTCAAGTAAGTTTCTGAGCTAAACAAAGAAAATTAATTGTCTACTTCTCTTCTGCAGAAACAGAAACTATTTGAAAATATTTCCTTCTTAAAACCACCTGGCACCCCAATATAGCTACATAGTTTAAATGTTAAAAAAAAATAATAATAAAAAATTAAAAAGGACTAGTTGTTCTAGTGCTTCTTACAAATGCCACACCCCAAAACTATGTGGTTACGACCTTCCTATGAAAATATCTTTCACTAAAAACAAAACAAACTGTAACAACAAAAAAAATACATTTGGCAAAACTGAAAGGGCGTACCAAAACCTCTTCTGAGCCGTTTCTGTGTTCCCATTACACAGGAAGACTGACAGCCCAACTAAGGCACTCTATCTAAAGTAAGCAACAACTGGAATTTCTCCAAAATCTGCCTGATATTAAGAGTGTAGAATCACACAACTAAATTACTACTTCAAATGTGTTAAAGCACCAGTTAACCCCTGGAATGCTACTCAGCCAGAGTGATGTTGAAGAAATTCAAACCCGTAAGCCAATCAGTTGACTTCAAAGCCCTCAGTCTCCCTCTTTGTTTTCTATCTTAGCCATGAAGTGTCAACCATAATCCATTAAAACGTATTTGACTCATCAATTGTAACACCCAATGTAACTTAATATCTTTCCTAAAAATAGTTTATTGAAGAAAATGCTTTTGTTATTAAAACTGTGTTCTGAACTGGAACTCAGCTCTGAATTCATGGCGCTATCACGGCAGTCTAGCCCTACACTCCCTATGGCTCCAAACATATGAAGCTGAAGTGTGCAAGATTTGTCATATGGTCCAGAACGACTCTGAAAGCAAGGAGTTCAGTGGTAACTGCTCTTTAGATGTGGTTCTGTAATAATATTAACAGCATGATCCCCAAAGCAAATGAGCTACACTGTCCCAAATTTCCATAAAGACCGATAGTGCTGAATGTAACAAAGACAGTATTGTTAAAAGGGGAAAATATGAAAAAAGAAACATCAGACTCCACAAGAATTAGAACATTAAATCCATTTCAAGAGAACATGTTTTAAAACATTTTCAGCAGTACATACAATACCAAGTAAAAGTATTTTCCAAAGCAAAGCTGAATGACACAAAATGTTTCTCCCATGTGTAATGGGGGCTAGAGGTGACTGAGGTGACCAGCCTGTTACCTCAATCACACACAGTTTTGAATGCAGCTTCGAAGTGGAACAGAATGACAAAGATAAATTACTGGACTGTCAGTCTAAGCCAGTACACAACAACAACTTTTCTATTAGAGCTTAAAAAAACCCTGACACAAAGCCAGAAACAAAATTATGACTTTGGATGAAGAAAAGAGGGATTTGTAAGAACAGTAAAGAATTCACTACAGGGCAGACAGCAAGTAGTTTCAAGAACAGAGATTACTAAACGTAGTTCAAGGACCTTAAACCTTGTAGTTCAAGGACCTTGAGTTATCCTTTTCATTGATGAACTACACACAAATAGCAAAACTTTAATAAACCTAGCTGACAAATATGAATTATCAATTCAGTTGAGAGTTTTTGTTCAGGAAGATTTGGATCACTAAGTACTTAAGTAACAGAAATTGAATGAAATATGACAGCATGAAATGAGGAAAGTTACACATATTGAGAACTGTGAAGAATTTCTGCTTCACATAGACCAGGTATTGCAAGAATAGGAGAGAGCTATGCCCAAGGACTCAAGTACATTAACACATTACAGAGTATCAGACACATCCATGGGATGTTGCTGGAAAAAGAGAC